GACTAAAAAAGTATGCTGCCCAATAGTGCCAGCATTAATTACGCTACTTTCTGTGAAGATTTAGTCAATGCCGAACAAAGCTGCCTTTGCTATCTGAGCATGCATTCGTTTATGGATCTTTGTAAAGATAATGACCTTCCTTTAACCCCAAGTTCTCATATACAAAATGATAATCTTTGATTATATTTGTGGGATATCTCTGAATGTCTTTGTCAGCCAACAGTTGACTCCCCCTCCCCCCTGAAATTAGGCAAGGTAGGCAATGATTGAAGCACATTAATCCTCCTTTAGTTATGGCTTGTTCTGGATATCAAAGCAGGAATCCTGACCGGTTCAGTTACAACCATCCAGATTGGCAAAATGAACTCATTAAATCTGGAAGGTCTTCCAACTTGGAAAGGACTTTTAGAAATCAGCCTCATCCATTGTTTTGCTCAGGTAGCATTTAAGGAAGGGAACTGAGAGCACAGCAACTGGAGGCGGAGGCACAAAGCTAAATAATGCTCCCCTTTCAACATCATTAGCAAAACAGCAGCAATTTCAAGATGGATGAATCATCTCAGTTGTCTCCAATCTGACAAAAGCTAGCAAACAAAAGACATGTTCAGCCTAAAAGCTCTGCCCGAACTTGTTGATGGGTAAATAAATAATTGTTAGATACCTCTCAATAAAATGAAAACTCGTTTTGGGAAGTGCTGCTAAAAATGAAAGATATTTCCACTGGGAAAATTTAAATAATAAGAATTAATTTTACTGAGGATTCTGTTGATCAATTTTTCCACAGCTTCTTTAAAAGGAGGAGAGTTTGAGTCATTCAAAGATGCTTAAGCCACACTCAAGAAACCACTAATGATCAATTTCTTTTGTTATGGCCATTTGATTTGATCCATTTTTCTTTCGTATAGATAATTTAAAATAGTGTGTGTGTGTGTGTGTGTGTGTGTGTGTGTGTGTGTGTGTGTGAGAGAGAGAGAGAGAGAGAGAGAGAGAGAGAGAGAGAGAGAGAGAGAGTTTTCAGATTTTAAAATTGAACAATACAATGGAAATCTGGTTTTGAACACTATTCTAAAAAATAAGACATTGGCATAAATCAGGATTAATGTTCTGGAAACAAATGGATTCATTTTAAGAACATATTTGGTCAAAGACCCTGTTAATATCTGCGCTTCAAAGTAATATAGACGAGGAAGCCAAAGTTACGAATGCTAATACTATTTTTATTATAATGTTATAGTAACAGAATCTTGCATGCTTGAATAGGCTTCTTCCCTCCCTGCTTTTATATTCAAGAGAACTAGGAAGGATCAAATCTGAATCCCCGCCCCCAAATTACATTACTACTTTGGACTCAGATTTCTCTTATCTGGCCATTCATTTTGGCTGTGGCTTTTCTTTCTGTTCCTCAAGCTTGTACTTAATCTGGCCTGCCTCCAGCCCTGTTTTATTAGAGCCCCAATATTATAGAGAATAATGCTAGAATTTAAACAAATCTTAGTATATTTGTATTTTATCCTTAAGAAGGCTATTCTTCAGCTCAAAAAGAATAAGGCGTAAAATAGGTAGGACACAGAATTCTATATATACAGGTACCATAATTAAACTCATCTCTTCTTCCCAGAAAAGACCAAGAAAAGCTGAACAACAAAAGTAACTGTTGATAAGGAGTACAGGCAACTAACCTATTGATAAAAGCAAAAAGTCAAGCTCCCAGAGAGATTCATGTGATAGGGACATTTGTGGGTTAAGACCCACTAGACAATGTAAATTAATTTTTGTACATGCCAATTACAAAGTAGTTTTACATTTCTTTTACTTAATAAAATAAAACAATAATAATTAGTATAATTTAGTGGTATGCTTTTTCAAAGAGCAATAACATTGGAAGATAGACCCAGTAATAGAACAGGGAGTATGTTCTGAGTAGAACTACTGTAGCCAGTTATTCTTGAAGCTCTCCTTCTTTAGAACCATAGAAAATACAGAATTGGCAGACTCCCAAGAATCTTGGGAATAAATGTCCATATTAAAAGTCTAATATTATATTAGTTGCAGAAAAATATTCATGCTCTTCAAATCAATGTAGTTTTAAGAAGCCCTGATTTTTAAAAATCTTCTATAGGACTGTATGGAGAAAAGGTATAAGGGACACTGTTCATTTTATATAAAAAAACATGTCTCTACTCATCTTTTGCCATTTTTGCTCATCAGAGCTTTAGAAGTAAGAAATGTGAATAGGCCAATAAAAATGATTGATTTGTCCAATTCAGAAATGGGCTAATCATGATTTAATCATGTAACAGTACTCTTCAAAATTCAAACTGTAACACATACAAATAAATGCTATTAAAATATTACTTAATTATGAGTCTGTATTACAAGAGCATTATATTATTTTCAATGTCTTCAGTCCTCAACTTGATACTTCAAATAAAAATAGGAACTACTTATCCCAGTTCCTGGTATCTCTCACCCTTGCTATTCTTAAGTTGTAGATCATCAAGATCAGAAGAGCATCAAGTGCTCACTTCTCTTACAGCAAATTGTTTGCGAGCTCTGATTAATGTCACTGTTATTAGCAAAATATCTAAGTTATCTATTTTGTATTACAGAGCAGTTTGGAATGTTTATGAATAAAGTAACCCAGAGTGACATAAACGGAGGCCAAATCAATTGGATCATTCATAAACAACTGCAAAAGATGATAAATATTTTAGAAGTGTAACAGTTGGTTGATTAGAAGCAAATACTAAAGTCCCATAGCAGAGATATTTATGGAATTGATTTTCATTATCAACTGCCGTCTTCTGGAAACTATTTTGCAATCATTAGAAAAGCCATTGGGAAAGTTTAATTACTAATTTTTGAGACCACCATGTGAATAACATTTAATCAACATCTTCAATAAAGTTTTATCATGCAAAATTATCTCTTGCCTCCAGATAAATTCCTACCTGCCCTGATCTTTGGTCTTGTGAAGAAAGGCTTGTAAAGCTTGTGTTGCTGAAATATAGATTTTCTGTAACTTGTCGATTGCCTTGAAAGTGCTAAGCTCCTATTATGTTGGGGGTCAGTTGTGAAAGCTGAGAAAGATGACAATGAACCATGCAAGGTTGCTTGCTTGCTTGTTTTCTTTTCTTTTAGAGAAATCAGAGAGCGAGATTAATTCCAGACTGGAAGGAAGGGACCAAGGAAAGGCCCAGTGAATGCAAGGGAATGAAGCCAGGATCTTAGTAGAAGGATAATGATTTAAAAGTTTTAAAACTCCTGACACCTTTGTAGCTCATAAAGAGTGCATCCTGTAGATGTGTAAAAGAATGTCCACACATAAAATATTTCCGTTATCGCTCCTGCTTTATGAAAGCTATATTCAAGATCTTCTCGTTTGTCTATTGATGTTCACTCCCAAGGTATGTAAGAGTGACAGACCCAGTTCATAGGAGAAAGAATTCCATGCAAGGAGTTACAAGAAAGGCTTGGTGGAGCAAGGAAGCTTGGTGGAACAGTTAAGTCTCAGAGCTTAGTAAAGGGCCTTTGTGTGTCACCATTATGATCTCATATAGTAGTAGCCAGCTTTATGCACTGCTATTCTGCTATTCATGTTCTCCAGGAAAATGATGCCATATTTTTGTATCCACACTTGTTTCCATAGATTTTCATCTGTTTTGGGCAAGGAGGAAACTAAAATCTGTATTATTTTTTTTCAGTGTAACAAATATTATTTTTGCTCTTGGTTTATAGCATTTTGACTCAGACTGATTAAGCAAGGCACTCACATGATCATGTTAGAATTTATCAGCTTGAATCTCAACCATAATTCTACCAAGTCACAAATTGCTCTAAGGAACACTTTGGTTAACCACAGATTATTCAAAAAGGCACAGTTGGCTGGGTTCACACATAGCACTAAGCCATAAACTATGGCTTACAAAACATAATTATGCTCAAAGCAAGCAAACTATATTCTGGTTTACTACAAGATATAAAACTAGTCATAGTATCTGGTTCTTAAATTGATGATGTTTAGGGGATCTTACAAATGTTAGGTATTCTTATCATACTTGTTCTTTTATTATCAATAGTCTGCACTAATTGGAAAATGAGACAAATATCCTACATTGGATATAATTAGATTTCTAGAACTGATTCTCTATATCAGTGGTGGGAATTTTAAGAGACATTTCTATAGTGTTTGTTTGTTTGTTTATTATTTTTCCCCTCCCTTTATTATTTTGCTAAATAACTCAAGGGAATGAATATACCTAAATACTCCTTCCTCCTTCTAACCAGTATTTAATCTATTGTGTTAAATACATATAATGAGTCAATTTAATTATTGGATGAATTTCATTTTTTGTCTGGTTTTCTAAGACAATTACAATAATTTTATTAAAGATTATAATTGCAACAGTTAAAAAACTAATATACAATGAAAAAATAGAGGGTTAAAAAAGAATGAGTAGAAGGTGTAGAAAAAAGAATAGAAAAAAAATAGAAAAAGAAAGAAAAAATAAGAGAAATAAAGAAATATAAGAAATAAAGAAAGTGACTTCGCACTTTCATCACAAATACAAACCACTTCAATAACTTATCATTTTCTCTTAAAATATAAGAAATGATCTCCCCAGATCTCATCATTTATCTATTTACAAAAACCACAAAATGTCATCATTTCACTCTTGATATTAGCAAAAGTCCATTAAGGGTTTCCAATTTTAAAAGCTTCTTTTGTAAATCCAATTTAGGAAAATTATCTTGGTTTTCTGTTTTCATATCCCTTTTAATTATTAAGGCATTATTAGGAAGTTGGGGTTTTTTTGTATATCATGTCAGTTCCAGTGTGCCGGCTCGCCCGGAGCTGCCATTCGGGGGGGTCGACCACCCAGCTGTACGAGGAGCTAAAGGGGATGCACACTACGGTGCTGCACTGTCTGGAACCTGTGGGAGCAAGATATACATCTTTTTCCATGTCATTCTCATAAAACACACAAACTCAGACTCACTCGTCAGGAAAAACTTGCTCCTCTTCTATATAATCTTTTAGACACTGTCTATCTGTAGAAGTGGACAATATTAAAATTAACATCTGAATCCACCTTTCAAAAATACCATTCAGTATATCCAAGGTTAATTTTTTATGTTTCAATCCAAACTCTTAGTTCAAATTTATAGTTAAAACTTCTTTTACTAAAGATTGAAGGAAATTCATCCGCTGTTTTCAAACTTGTCAAGCCAAAGATTTTGCATAACAATTTTGGAAATTTATTAGAAAAGGATGTATGTAAATTTAGTGTCTTTTCAAAGGCATAGACCACAGTTTAAACAAGATGGATATTCCCCCATCTCCCAGAGCATTAAACCCACCAGAGACCACTATTTTGCAGTCTCCTCATCTCCAGAAGCAACTGTCTGGAGTACTTTTGGGCAAACTCAAATCATTTCCTTATTCAGAGAAGAATTATGAAAAGCTGGCCTACTTGCCAGTTTTTATTTGCTGGTTCTGCTTTTCATGAAGTTGTCTTCAGTCTTCCCCAGAAGTCCCAACTAGCAGGACAATTGTAAATGCATTATTAGTCTACAACAAAATGCCATAGATTCAAATCTAACTGACTCTTTTTTATCAAGGGAGAAAAAAGATGGAGTCTAGGACAACTCACCACAACCAACACACCTTGGCTAGCTTGTCACGGCCAACTCACCACGGCCAATTCACCATGGCCGACTCACCACGGCCAATTCACCACGGCCAACTCACCACGGCCAATTCACCACGGCCAATTCACCACGGCCAACTCACCACGGCCAATTCACCACGAGACAATTCGCCACAGGACAACTTGCTGCAGGATAAAAGTTACATAATATTGAAAAAGATGGTAAAATAGAATCATTAAAGAAAGGATGAAAAAGGAGGGGCAAAATGAAATGTGAACAACAAAAATTAAAGTAGTTTTTAAAAATTATTTTAAATAATTAAATAAAATTGTTGAATTGTCCCGCAGCAAAGTTTTCCTGTAGCAAATTGGCCACAGCAAATTGTCCCATGGTGAGTTGGCCATGGTGAATTGTCAGCGTTGAGTTGTTTGCAGCAAATCAGCTGTGGTGAGTTGTCCCATTCTGAGGAAGATGAATAAAAAGTAGGGGGAAGAAGGATTAGGATGCCCATTAGTTTTATTAAATGTGATTTGCCATTATTTAAATAGAACCCTGTAGCCTATATTATAAAATAATTATGGACTTGGGCCTATTTGTTCTGATTTCTGATTTCCTTTGATGTAATAGGAGTATGTATTTATTATTATCATTATTAGTCATTCCCTTTTCTTTAGAGAAGTTTCATTTGATTAAGTTCTACTGCATTATAATTACATTTTTTCATTACAAATTTAAATCAAGTTTTTTTCAGCTCCTCATTTGTGTTTTGTTTATCATTGATTTTAATAGAAAACCCCACTCGTCTTCAAATGCCTGCTGGGTTAACATGGCATCATTTCAGAATTCCTAATCTTCATTGATGCATCAGATTTGCCAGACGACCTAAGAACAGCACAACCATTGCCCATTTTATAAGCTGTCTTGGAAAATTATTCTCTTTGTAAACCATACCTGCTGTTCCAGGAGGTTTGTAATAGAATTAAATGACGAATGAATAGGATTTCATTTAGCACTGATGTGATTGAATTCAATCAGTTCCACAGGAATGAAATGAATGAGTTTATGTTTAATTTTGCATTCATTAACAAAAATAGAAGAGACATATACTGTACCAGTTGCAGCTGGGCATTTTAGAATACCTTTTCCATTCTTGAAAACAGCCTAGGGATTTTTCATGAATTTAAGTCTTCTTGTGGAAACCTTGATTGCAGTATTTTTATTTTATTTATTTATTTATTTACAAATATTTATATGCCACCCTTCTCCCAAAGGACTCAGGGCAGCGAACCAAGTTAAAAAACATTACAATAATAAAGGAAAATCCTAATTAAAACCAATTAAAACAGGGACAAATAAATAATAAAATCCAAGAATCAGAATCAGCCCATTTGTTGAAACAGCCAAGTCTTTAGGCCTCGACGGAAGGAGCGGACATCAGACGCCATTCGAAGCTCGGTAAATAAGCAGTTGTTTCTCCAGAATTAGCTGTAGTATCAACATTTCACAAGAATAGAAGCTAGACTGAGCTTTTTTGTAGCTACTTCAATCCTTTGAAAAACATCAATACATTTTTATTGATTTAAAAGATACATTTAAGAGATGTAACATGGTTGGATCAAAGCTTAGAGAGTCTCCAAATGATTACCTGGCCCATCAACATCTAGGTTGGCATGAACATGCTAGGGCTGATAAGTATTCATTACACATTACACAATGTAAGTTGGGACGTAATCAACCAGGTTCATTACTAATGCTCATTGTTTACACATACACACATATGGTTTGCCCCAAGTAAATGTGTTTATCACAGGTCCAGGAGAAGTCAGTTCCATTTCAAACGCAGATCATGACAGAGCCAGCTCCATTTCATAAATATGATCATGACAATCACATAAGTTGGGTTGAAACACAAGCCTCATGTCTGGCCAGAAAGAAGACTTATTATTTGCCTCTATCCCTACAATTCAAGTACAGGTGGCATCTTCTGTCAGGAGAGTTCCCTTGTGGGAGTTCATGTACTAGAAACATAATGGTGAACTTATGGCATGCGTGCTAGAGATGCCACACAGCGCCCTCTCTGTGGCACGTTAACTGACACCCCAGTTCAGCTCTGCCGCACATGTGCATGTGCCTCCTGCCAGCCAACTGGTCTTTGGGTCTCTGTTGCACATCCACGGGGTCCGGGGTTTGTGCAGGGGGTGCGGGGTGCATGTAGGGGGCCTGTGCAAGCATGCACAGGGGTGGGGATGCATGCACATTGCATTTTGGGGGTTCAAGCATGCGTGAACATTCGCATGTGCGTGCTTTGGGCACTCGGTCCAGAAAAAATTAGCCATCACTGTACTAGAATGTGCAGAATCTGGGGAGAAGAATGTCTTTGGAATTCAGCTGTAATCAATATACACCATAATAATGCTAAGTAATCATTCAATTTTTTTAGTTGTGATAAAGATTTGAAGTCATTACTTTATCTATTTTTCTTTCTTTATCATAATCCTACTTTTTCTCTTTTTTTTTTGTTGCTCCCCCACCCTCCTTCCTGCACTTATGCATAGCTTGTATCACTCGTCTCAGGAGCCTCTGTTGCTCCCTCCATGGTATCTTCATGCTCTTTACCTGGGACTCCCAGTGCTTCCCAAGTAATGACTTGCTCATTTTGGCATTACGACAGCCAATGGGATTGCCAGGATTGTTGTTGCTAAGCAATGCAGTCACATTGTATCTCACTTTATAACTGCATTCCTTATTGATGGCAATCCTGGTCCCTATTGTAACTCAACGACAACCTGTATAGCATTTTTCTAGTCAAGAAGCTTGATTTCTGAAATTTCTATCTGAACAAGTCAGATGGTTGAATAAACAGCAGAAATGTACTGTATTACACAAATGTAAATTCCAAAGCATCTCTTCTGCATCCTTTTGAAAGCATATTCATCAATAATAGTTCCTTTCTTTGGCATATGGGAGTTTAGTAGACTATTTGTGGGGCAAAGAACAATATAACAATGGCTTTTAGGCTAATTTACAGTTCCATTGTGCTTTACAGCACTCTCTGAGTGGTTTTCAATATTGAAGCATTACTTGCATTACTTGCCCCCAATAATCTGGGTCCTCATTTTATTGACCTCAGAAAAATGGAAAGCTAAATCAACTCTTGAACCCCATCAGAATCAAACTTTAGGTTGTGGGCAGAGTTTGCCTGCAATACTGCACTTTAACCACTGTGCTACCAAAACTTCTCTAAGGGTTATCTGCTAATGTAAACATACTAATCTTGATGCTAATATGCTCTTTTTACAGTTGAATAATAATTAGGAAGGTACTGCTGGGAGGTTGTTTTTTTTTTTTTAAAAAAAAACTTGAATAGAAAACAAATTGAATTGCAGATAAAGTAGATAGCTTCATGTACCGTAATATATGTGATGTTAGTTCAATACTGTATTATGAGCAGTGTCTTCTTTTTCATGGGATAAGTTTCAAATATCCAGTCCTGCTCTTGAAGGACTGCTATGAAAAATAATAAGCTGTTTTCTTCTTGATTGAAGAAATAGTCGCTAATTCTGGATCTGTTTCCCCGTGTAGAGATCACATTATCTAAAAAGTTCCAAAGTTTCAGATAAACAGCCCTGTATAACATCCATCCAAGTTGGATAAGGATTGGGAAAATAGTTATAAAGCTATTTGTGTAATTGCCACAATTGCTCACAAAGAGTGACAGAATGAAATCTCCAGCAAAGCAGGAATTGGTATTTTTGTCTTTTTTTTTTTTTTGGTGCAATTGCTGGGGAGAAGGGGTGGGGCAGGGGTTATAAGATTTGGGATATTTGTATCATGAGCCTTGTTTGCTAACGCAAGTAAAAAGGAAAAAAGAATTGGAAACTAAGTGTAGCAGCTGAGAAATGCAGGCAAATGGTTTATGGCATTCAGAGTAAAATGTACTCAGTATCTCAGAGAATAAATTACATTTCAGAAGAAAGAACAAATCTTATGCACACACAAGCTAGCTAATTCTGCCAGCATTTATATCACAGTTAATTTCCTTCTTAGCATGGCAAAGTTCTAAATGTGTAAGCTCTTAGAAATGTTTTTTTTTATAGTTCTGTTTTAGCATTTCTTTCTCCACAATATATGAGAATGGAAATCTCTCTCTCTCCCTCCCTCTCTCCCTCCTTCCCTCCCTCCCTCTCTCTCCCCCTCTCACTCTGCGTCTTTCAACTCGACAGATCTCTGTTCTTTGTTTATTGGTTTCAACCTAGCCTCCTTTTTACATTTACCATTTAAAAATCAGAATAGGAAACCCCTTCTTATGGAAAAGCCCCTGGTAACATGAAAGTGTTTTATACTGAACATTTGATTAAGAGAAAGATGGGGTTTGATGTTTTACAAGTTGACTGGAAGTCAG